ACAATGATAGCGCAGGCATATGTGACCAGTCTTCATGCAGGGTGTCAAAAAATGACCCTATAAGTTTAATGCCTGGATTCTATACTGAACCCATGGTTACGTAAACTCTATTGAATAGAATTTTATGCATGGCTTTTGGAATCGTTTATGGTATAATTTTATGCAAGTTTCTGGTATCGTTAAGGTTGAACATATGAATAATATGACTATTTGCTGGTTAATTTAACGCAACGCGTAAAACAGTAAAAACTCTTTGCTCTGTAGTCAGTTGAACCATTTTGAATCCAACTGAGTCAAATTTTTAAGGGACTAATTTCTAAGTCGCCTTAACTAATTTCAAGGGAATATATTTTCAAATTTAAAATTGGTCACCCGTGCGGAAACTAATTGTTTTTCTAAGCAATTTTTTGCTACTCATTCACAATTAAAAGGTCTCATATTTAATGTGTGCAATTGATAATTAGTATAATTGCAAAGTAATTACTTTGGACAAATGTATAACTTAGGGACCATTCATTATTTAAGACTGCGGGTGGGCTGGCAAAAAAAGGGGGTGGGTCATGAAGTATTTTTGACCGAAAAAGGGGGGCCACCTAAAAATATTGGTTGAGAAGCGGGGGGGGTCCAGTTATTTATTATAAGTGGTATTATAGTGGAGAAAAATTTGACATGTAACGATTATTGCTACCACAGGGAGCGAGCGAGGCAGCAAATAAAATTCATGTATAGCTAGCAAAATTCTCAATTTTAATCAACAGATAGACCCAAAATGCAATGCACAAATACCCAAAATGCAATGCGCACAGCTGATATGAAAAATAATCGAACATATACCTTATAACTTTGCCATAAACTTGCCATAAATTTTTGTCATATTTCAATTATGTACATTTTAATAAAAAGATAATTAACGAGAAACCGATGTAGTAACATTACGTCCAGGAAAGGTTTGGCATATACTATATACACTAGTTTATACTAGGTATTTTATACATGGTTTAATTTAGTAAGGAGTTTGTCGGTTTACTGTGTCAAGTCCGATACAAATCCGAGTCCAAGTCAAACGTCCGAGTCACTAGCTGTTTAGCGGTCTTCAGTTCATGGATGTATAGTACCCTAACCCTACTCCCAACCAAGGGCCGTAGCAACTGGGAGTGCTGGTGGCGGGGGCTGCAGCCCCCCCCCCCAAATAATTTGCTAATAATCATTCTTTCCCCAAAATCATGCAGACCTTTATCATTTAAATAATATACCTTTAAAATACTGACAATTGATTAATTTTAAGCGCGGCTACATTATCCATGACAAACTGCAAAGAGTTAAGATATTTCTCATACTTTCCTGCAACTTATTCAATATATAGTTAGATACGTCTTCGCCCATTTAGTGCTACTAAATTGTAAATTTCGACATACTAAAATGTTGTTTTCTGACCATCAGAATTCTGTCAAATCTTTGCCAAAGTCCAGGAAATGACAATTCAGAGACTCTAAATTTTAAAATTCTCTCAGGCCTTTGGCCCTCACTTTCAGCTCCTCAATCAAAATGAGCTTCCTACGGCACTGTAACCCTAACCCTACTCCTAACCCTATCCTCCTAACTCGATTTTACTCGTCAACGGGGAAGCTCTGCTAGCCATGTCCCGATTCTGGGCGGCAACGTGTGAGCAACTTTTTACCACATTTTAGTAGCAAAAAATGGTATGACTTTAGCCTCTTTGACGCTCTGCAGCTTAATGGCCCTTAATGGGTTAACCAAAAAATCTGACAATGTCTCTTGTTAACCCATTGTGTCCCAGTGCACCCTACTTATAGTTTTTGTGGCTAGCCCGTTCGCGGGCTAGCCACAATGTAATATATTATTAAAACATTGTCATTGCTATCGTGTAGCGCTATTCATGTCTGCTCTGGACTCTGCTTCTGGTCAAAGAGATTTTGATCACGCTTCATATAAAGCTTTATAGTGAGTTTATAATCCTGTTTATAATCAAACGTTCTTGCACAGATCTTTAATTTTAATATATCATTATGTGGGTAAATTAATAAGAAGCAAGCCCGGCCATTGTTGGCATATTTTACAACAATACTACTGTACAACTGTGAACAGGCCCTATCCACTTACAGGTATAAAACTACAATTAACACAGAAAACAGGCTGGACTATTTTATATTAATATAGTCTATAGTAGTTACTAGCGTGGAAGCTCAGTCTGTTTACATACAGTTGAAGCCTTGAAGGATCTTCTAAATGGAAGTAATTGAGTGAAAATGTATTATTTCACATTCATCAGACCTATTAAACCAGCAAATGCAAGTGTAGGTGCAGTTTATTTTTGGATATCTAGTCCAGATATAAATAATATATCTGATCTAAGATCAGCAGGGACGTAGATACAGGGGTGATTTAAAGCTTTAATAATAATCCACCTTAAGTAAAAAAATACAGTGGGCTTACAAATTCATAAACATTATAAAACCATCTATATTACAACAAAAATTTGTATTTTTAAAAAAAGTTCAGTTGCCAAAGGCACAGACGACGATTATGTCCTTCAGTTCAGAGAATAATGCAACCTACATTCAGCCTAATATTACGGAACCGTCTATTACAGTAGTAATTTAAAGTTTATTATTAAAAAGTTTAACTGCACGAGGCATAAACGATGATTTATGTCTTATGTAGTGTGCAAACCCCACAACTGTGAAACTCAGGGAAAATCAAGTATACTGTAAATTTTGACATTTTCTGGTAAAATGTGTGTAAAAAAGTAATTATTTTTGTAAAATGATGACCATTTGACATCCGAAACCACCCCCCCCCCAAAGAAAACTTCAGATGCTTCGCTACCTCCCTGAAAATTAGTGCAATCACCAGTCACCATACAACACTGACCCTTGCAGTTGCGAGGATATATGAAGAAGCAAACCCACAGCCATATTGCGATGAGGTCATATCGACAAGTTTCAACCTTTTTATCAGCTTTATTGGACATACATATAAAAGGTTACATATTATTATACAAACAAAGAAAATTACAGGAAAATTACAGGGTATACGTCCAATGGGGCTAGCGCAAACGGGACAACGAGACCCATGCAGGGCGCCACCCCTAAATCCCTAAAAAAAACCTAACACCCACCATCTGTTTTATTTTGACCATTCTTCTATTGTAATTATTAATTTTGTATCAGAATGAATGTTTGTGATGAATGTTCATGACAATGTGAACTCCGGCTGAGTAGGCTAGCCACATGTACGCAGTGCGTACCTATTTTTTTACTTGTTTAACGCCAGATCTGATTCCTTTTACAACAATTAAGTTTAAGGAGCTCATTTCTATACAGTAATGTACATTTATTATATTGTCGGTGGTGGTGGTGGCGCGGGGAGGGGGGGGGGTTCTATTTTTTAGAATTCATGTGAAGGGGGTCATTGAATTTTTTTGTGATGCAGGGGGTTGGGCAGGACATTTTGTTTAGTTGTTAATTGAATTTTGCCAGCCCACCCCCAGTCATAAATAATGAATGGTCTCTTACTTATGTTCACTAGAGCATAAAACCCTGAACCAATGGTTAGATCATAAAACCCCGAAAAAGGTATTATATGTGACTGCATACTGTAGCTAATGTCATGTACAGTATTAATATAATACAGCACACTATATGACTTGAAATATGTATTTTCTTGCCAGCCATTTCCAATCACAAAATTATCCATGTTGCTGTTAAATTATGATTGGCCTAAACAAGTTTTGGCTAAAGTTTGTTTTAATTTATATAAAACATTATATATTGTATTAACACTATTGGAAGGATTTCAGGCCATGCTATGGAAGGATTGGTATGTCGGGAAGTTTGTTTCCCAGTCTTCCAATCATGACATTGTTAGCTACAGCATCAACTCAGAGAAGGAAAGCAATTGCATGCATCAACTCAGAGAAAGAAAGAAATTACATCAACAACATAAAGAATATTGTGTCAATGATAAATATATTGATTTATTCTTACAATTCCTCTATGAAAATTTGGTGTGTTAATTAATAGAGATACTGTAAAAAATAAATAACAGCTTTATGGTGCATGCCCATGCAGTGATAATATTGTAGTGGTGTAGTAAATGGAGGTGTGTGTGGAGGTGTGTGCTTGTGTGTGTGGGGGGGGGGGCTAGAGGCTCTAGGAATTCCCCGACAAGGAATATCAGATTCCCCGATAAGGAATATCAGGTTCCCTGACAAGGAATATCAGGTTCCCCGACAAGGAATATCAGGTTCCCAGCAGGGGGCTATAATCTTTCTTATATCACACTTGTGTCGATTTTCTTTGATCGTCCGAGGTTTATAACTAGCTTATAGACCTTGAATAAATTATTGGATTAAACTTGTAGACAAAACGCGAGAATTTTTCATTAAAATTTTTTGAAAATGCCAAAATATGTTAGAAAACCTCCACAAGTGTGATATAAGTTAGTTATAAACCTCGAAAGTCGGTTTATAACTGATATATTGGCCTCGGACGCTACGCGTCCTCGGGGGCAATATATCAGTTATAAACCTCCTACTCGGTTTATAACTCTAACAAAAGTAGTAATATAGGTACCGTTCGACCCTTATTTTTGTGGTGGAGTGTGGTGGAGTGTGGTGGAGTGAGGGTGCGTAATGACGTCACTCATTAACATACGTCATTCATTAACATACGTCATAATTATATGCAATGACGTCACGCGGGCGAGCTTAAACACGATCGGGCGAAACTTGCTGACTACGCATTTTTTAGCGTCCCCCCACGTGTGTGGTACAATGGAGGGATTAATGTTGGCTCACTATGATTGGTTGTTTGATTTAACGAGCGTCTGTATAAAATCGACAAGCGTCTTGTAACAAGCATCGTCTATATTTTGACAACGCTCTTACTGGAGGTCTTTTGGCAAGCTGCTGAAATTTATCTTGTTGGTAGAATTAACGTTTATTGCTGGTTGGAAGATAAAGTTTTTTGAGGAGAAACATGGCACAACAACATCGGGAAAGTATGTGGTAAGTTGACTTTGGTTATTTACAGCTAAGTATTTAAGGCAATCCTACAAGTATTTTTTGTGTATATTTTCAGGAGAGATCGATTTATGAGCGAACTGGAAAATGATGAGATTAATCGCCAGCTTTGTGCCGTGGACACATTTTCTTGGTCCCCTGAAACTCAAGAGGAGATTCTTGCGGAATGGAATGATTGGCAACACCATGAAACGGCTTCGACAGAACCAAGTTTGTGTTGTGATGAATGTGGTCGCGTATTTACGCGTTCGGACAACCTGAACCGACATATGAAATCTCACAGTGACAAAAACCACGAGTGTTCGCGTTGCCACAAAACGTTTAATCGGAAGGTACGTAATTTACAAGGATGTATTTCAAAACATAGTAAAGTATTTTGAGCTAATAACATCTACTTATATTATTTCAAGGATGCTTTGAACCGGCATATGAGAATGCACGAACAACGAAGAGCCCAAAGGGAATACAACTGCAATATTTGCGGTGAGGTGTTTCGAAATATATTCCCATTCCAAGCCCATCAGCGTGATGTCCATCAGACTGGTGGTGGGAAACGTACGAAGACGTCAACCCGGCGAACGAAAAGGCAAAGAACTGCTGAACCAGGTATGTATAAATGAAAATATTTTGATTACTAACTTTGTATTTATACACATATATTTTTCTTTTAAGAACCGCCATCATCTTCGACACGCCTTAACGAAGGTAAGAGAGTATATATGCTGTGTAATAATTTAAGTTAAAATCACACTAAAACATTTTTCACCTTTTCAGGAGCTTCTACAGTCGTCAGCGAAGGTATGAAATTCAAATTTTTATACCGTATATAGTATATTGATTGTGGTGATTTGATGTGTATATTGACATTGTTAATTACTCGCAACCTTGGTTTTAAAACATTGCCTGGAGAAAGACTTTGAAATCCTAACGTTTAAGAAAGAAAGACTTTGAAATCCTAACGTTTACATTTCATGCTGTTTTCATGTTGTTTCACTGATGTTTGTGTTTTGAAAACCTGATAAAAATAATCGAGTAATTTTTAAGCGTGGGTTTATAGTGTGGAATGTTCCTAATTATTCGTGTTAGACTTATGTTCATTTGATTTAGAACTGTTAATTTATGTCATTGTACGAATATTTACGCTACATCTGTTTTGTAACATTCGCTAGCGTTTTATAGTGAGGTAAAAGTAATTTTCATAGCGTGGGTTTATCATGTTGCTATGTGAAATTTGCATGTCCCCAATTTATTCATGTTAGACTTATGTCATTTTTTTATGAATCGGGTGTTTGTATGACAAAATTAGTGCGAAGCTCTAGACAAAAATAAAGAATCGGGTGTTATTTCTATAGGACCCCAAGAGTTCCCTCAAGATTCCCTATTACCCCCATCTAACCTTCCTTCCCAACTCCACCGAGATCATTGGCGTGCTATACGTACGCGACAAAGCCGAGGCAATCGGATTCAGGATTGGTACAACTATCGTCTAAGCTCAGTAAATATGGGTCAACTTGTTGACGATATAGACCATATATTCGAAGATCAATCGACCGTCTTTAAGTTAAATCTCTCCTTTGGTTTCGTATTGTTTAATAACGAGACACAGCAGATGCAATATCACCACCCCTCAGCAAACAACAGCCGTGTCTTCGACTCCCCGTTCCAGATTCGTAATCGTGAAGATTTAGCCCAAGTTCGCGAAACGATGCAAAACATCGACATTCATGAATGGGCCAAACAACAACGACCTAATTCCAAATAGATTGTCATGGATATTACCAACGCGACGTTTTATGTGACCAAACTTCGAGACCATCCCATCGGACGTTCTGTACGTTTACCCAAATACGTACTGGAGAGCCGTGCCATCGTGTCGCTCGACTGTAATGATCAAACGGGACTACCATACGAAGATAAACTCTGCTTTTTCCGTTGTTTGGCCTTACACCGTGGATGTCACCCCCATAATTTGGAGAGAGATACTAAGCATTTTTACGAACAGTATTCTGACGCTGAAGAATTCGATGGTGTAACGTTAGAAGAATTGCCCGAACTAGAAAAATTGTTTGAATTAAACATTTTTGTATATCGGCTCGTAGAATGTTATGATGAGGACAACGACACGACCTCCATTGTAGCTCAACTGATTCAGCGATCTCACCGTGCCTACACCAACTCGATGTACCTCAACCTATATGGTAGCCATTTTAGCTATATCAAGAACTTGGGGATGTACTCAAAGTCCTATTGTTGTTCCAAGTGTGACAAGATGTGGAAAACAGCGAGGGCCTTGAACCGACACGAGCGAACATGCGAAGCATCTATACGTCACATCTTCCCTGGTGGTGCCTACAAAGTTCCACAAACCATCTTCGATTTGTTGGCCGATGAAGGTATCGAGATCCCTGAAAACCTCAAGTACTTCCCTTATCGTGCCACCTTTGACTTTGAGTGTTACTTCAAACGTGAAACCGAACATCCACGAAATACAGCAAAGTTGACGTGGGAAGCCGAAAATATCCCATTGAGTGTCTCTGTATGTTCGAACGTCCCTGGTTATGATCAACCCAAATGCTTCGTCTCGTCTGGCAGTACAAGTGAAATGATCCAACAGTTCGTGGAATATTTGGTTGAGGTCAGCCAAGAAAGCTATGGATTGTTGCTGGACCAATTCTCTGACGTCTTTCGTCAAATTGATGAACGGGTCAATGAGGTATAATTCACACGTATTAGATTCTTAGTATATTTCTTATCCTTAATATTTTTTCTTATATCTTTAGGTGGGGGAAAACGAGGTTATGGAAGTTGCCGCGGGGGAGGATAATGAGGTAAATTATAGGAAGGTTATTTTTGCACTTATATTCTTTATATTCTAATATATCTTATGTTTTAGCAAAATACAGAGGAACGGCTGATTGAGGATATGGTGGGATGTTTGATGGGGCTGAATAGTGAGGTATATAACATATGGTTTGAACTCAGCAGTGGCCTTTCCTGTGCTTACCATATGTGTACCTTTTTAGGCGAGTGAAGATGAAGACGAAGTGAATAAAGATAAAGTCGTTGAAGAGAAAGTGAGTATCACACTCATGATCCATTTTAGCGGTTATATAGATTAGTAGGGATGTGTAAGTATCTTGCTTTTTACTTATGACACCTTTTCATTTAGGATGTGGTCCATCCTCTGCTCAAACTCCAAGATAAGTTGTCAGAATACTTACAAGAGTTACCAATTCTTGGATTCAACTCTGGTAAATATGATATTAACGCTGCGAAAAACCCTTTCTTTTCACATCTCGTCAAACACGAACAAGTTAAGTTTGTGATAAAAAGGAACAATAACCACATGTGTCTTAAGACTCAACACTTAAAATTCCTCGATATCACAAACTATCTGGCTCCGGGATTTAGTTACGAACAGTTCCTCAAAGCGTACGAGTGCTCCCAGACCAAAGGCTACTTTCCGTACGAGTGGGTCGACTCCCTCGACAAACTCAATCATTGCTCCTTACCACCACGCGAAACCTTCCATTTCACTCTATCCGGAACCGACATCACCGAGGAACAGTATGAGTATTGCCAGGCTGTATGGGACGAACAGAATATGACAACTTTCCGCGACTTTCTC